TTCCCGCACGTTGGATCCCGTGCACGGTACCCGGCGTCGTCTCTGCCAAAACAGTCGCACTTTGGTACCATTTTAATAGGTTTCCGCATTGCTATTCTGAATTGAAATATCTGCTAGCGATATAAAGAGGCAGGTGTGGTTACTGCACGTAGTAATTAAGCTGCCTCTCATTGCCACGGCTTGGAAAACATTGGGGGAAAAATGGCGCTGCCAACGCTTTCTCTCAGCGGACGTCGTTGCACAGGTCACGGCGACAGGCCAGGGAGCTCCTGTGGCCAAAAAATGGATTCGTTCACAAAAGTTGGGCCTCTGGCTGCAACCCAGAAGGCTGGAAAAAAGAGGGTCCCGTGATCAAAATGTATTTACGTGCAGCGTGAGAAAAAATAATCAGAATAATAAACACTAGGTGAGGTTTAAATACTTTTTAAAAGAAGAAAAAAAAATAACGTCTTTGAACTTGGGTACCTTGGTTTAGACATAGAAATATTGTGTCTGAACTTTCAGAAATGTCTCCTTTTCCACTGATTCCGCTGATATCAGTTGGCACTACGCTTTTGAAATCTTCTTTCTTAGGCAGATGTTTATGCATTTGGAATTCTGCTGTGGACAACCACACGGACAATTTTTGATCCATGTATTTCACAAAATCTTACGCCCTACAAAATAACGCCCTTCTCAATGCAGGTGATAAAAGAAAGTTTAGGACTTTGGAAGCTGCGTCGTCCACGGTCGCTGGGCAGTGCGAAGCCAGCTGCTGTGAGCGCGGGTGTTGGTGCCGCGGCCTCGCCGGTACCGAGGGGGAAAGGACGGACAGCCCTCCGCGGAGGCCTTCTCTCGCTAATTATGTTTTGGCAGGCGATGAAAGAATGGGATGTTCATTCTTAAGGGCTCCCTTTCAACTTAAACGTTGTGTAACCGGAGCAGCAGTTTGAAGCCAGGTGAAAAAAATGAAGAAAATTTGCAGTTAAGTGGTTTTTCTACTGCTCCGTGTTTCTTCTCTGATCGTTACTGTAAGCGTTGAATTAGCAGAACAGATCAGCTCTGAAATTTTAGCATCGGAAAGGGAACGCCTGCAGCTGGAATAGCATTTCCTACGACCGTATGGTCTATGGAAAAAGGGTAACGTAAGTCAGCGGAGGAGTTCAGATGTCTTCAGTACTCAGTCGTGTCGCATTGAACGTTAATTGCCTTTGAACAAAAGGCAATTCCTCTTCTAGCTCAGCATTTGGAGACTCTGGAAGAGGCTTTTGCTGACTCAAAAACTCCACAGTTCTCATTTTCCACCCTTTGTTCCTACCTTCTTGTGGCTAGCTGGCCGGTCTCGTTATTCGCAAAAAAACCTTTTTTTTTTTTTCCCCCGGAAAGTAAAAATCGGGAAAACTGCTGCAAAAATGGGAAAGGAATTTTTTTTTT